GTACTTTTTTGAAATTCGTACTTTTAAGGGGTAAAAATGTATAACAAAAGCGATTTTATTACCTCTTTTGGTCCTTTATAACTTTTGAAATAATTAACATAATCAAATTTTTATAAATATTTTAGATACATCTCCCAAAATTATGAGACACCTGTTTCGTACTTTTTTAAAATTCAGTCCTTTTTGGGTGTAAATGGGAGAAAACTGTATTTATGGTACTTTTTTTTAGCACATAAAGAAAATTTTTTCGGTTTATTGAATTATTCCTATTAAATTACGGACTAACTCTGTAATATTTATTGTAATAAAATTTTTGCTATTTCACTGGGGAAAAAAGTACCAAAAAGGGAAAAAACTGGAAATTTAATTTTATTCAAACTCATTGAGACAATTTTTATAGAATATGAAAAAGTAGTTTATTTACTCACACAAAATAAGCTGTTGGTATATTATTTTGGAATTGGAGTACTAAGGACTATATAGGACCAAATTCGAGTAAATTGTTTGGTACTTTTTGAAAGCACTATTTTTCTGAAACAAATTAATGCAGATTTGAATCGTTTGAGTTTTATCTGTGATATATAGATTTAAATACGGAACATTTTATAAACTTAATTCTCGAAAAAGTATATTTCTAAGCGAAAAGGGGAAACAATGTAAGATTCTTTAAGAGACAACTTTTTAGTACTTTTTATCTCATAAATTGTACTTTTTTAATTTTCTAAAATATTCAACCTAGGAATATTAATTTTAACATACATGGTCTTGACTGAATAATATTCTGTAAGTGGGAACTATTTGGTACTTTTCTATTATTCAAATGGTACCTTTTAGATTCTTTATAATGGTTAACCGGAACACACGGTCCTTATTAAATGAGAATTTATTGAGAGGAATTTTTGTACTTTTTCGTTTTTCCGATGGTACTTTTTGATATTTTTACGATATTGAACATAGATATTGAAAATAAAATTTAAAATGTAGTGACCTTAGTGAATGAGTATCTACTGAAAGGGACTTTTGGTACTTTTTCATTCATCAAATTATATTTTTTAATTTTATATAATATTGAACACAGAAACATAAAATTTTTTATTAAATGATGATCTATTAGAGGTATTTTATGGTACTTTTTTTCAAATATTACATTCAAAATTTTCTATAATGTAGAAGCTAAATGAATGAAACTAAAAATACAAGCTTCTTACTGAATGCGAATTTAATCACGTGATATTGAACGTATAATACTGAAACATTAAAAAAATGTTTAATCAATTTTAATTTTCTATAAAAGTAAACAAAATTTTGAATGTATTTAATTTAAGTTAGGGTAGCGAAGCACCCAGGGTATGCTAGTAATGATATAAATGGGGAAATGAAATAAATTAAAATTTTATAGAATTCATATTTTTTAAATACACTGTGGTGAAGGGTATATAAGATTCGGCATAGCCGAATATAGCACTCTTACTTGTTTTATATTCACAATGGTATGTCCATATTTAATCATAGTTCCCATATAAAGTATCTGTCGCGCATTGTTTAGTTTGAATTGGTCCATTATTTCTCCTAGTTCACATGGAAATTACAACCCAAATAGACCCACAACATTAATAACTTAAAAAATATACCAATATTTAACCAAAGAAATAAAATATCTTAAGCAATTTTATATTAATTTAGATTATTTTAACTAAAATGTATTTTTTTTTAATTGAAAATGGGTAGTAAATTATTTCTGTTATTTTCTTATTCAATGTAATTTTCATTCTCACTATCATCATCGAAACTATCATCACTACTTTCTGCAGAGTTATTCGTATTATTCCAGTCATTTGAAAGAATGAGGAGATCCAATGCCGCTGTGGGGAGAACAGTGGGGGGCGGGGAAAAGGAAAGGAAAGGAAAGGAAAGGAAAGGAAAGAAAGGAAAAAGGAAAGGAGGAAAGGAAAGGAAAGGAAAAGGAAAGGAAAGGAAAGGAAAGGAAAGGAAAGGAAAGGAAAGGAAAGGAAAGGAAAGGAAAGGAAAGGAAAGGAAAGGAAGGAAAGGAAAGGAAAGGAAAGAAGGAAAGGAAAGGAAAGGAAAGGAAAGGAAAGGAAAGGAGGAAAGGAAAGGAAAGGAAAGGAAAGGAAAGGAAAGGAAAGGAAAGGAAAGGAAAGGAAGGAAAGGAAAGGAAAGGAAAGGAAAGGAAAGGAAAGGAAAGGAAGGAAAGGAAAGGAAAGGAAAGGAAAGGAAAGGAAAGGAAAGGAAAGGAAAGGAAAGGAAAGGAAAGGAAAGGAAAGGAAAGGAAAGGAAAGGAAAGGAAAGGAAAGGAAAGGAAAGGAAAGGAAAGGAAAGGAAAGGAAGGAAAGGAAAGGAAAGGAAAGGAAAGGAAAGGAAAGGAAAGGAAAGGAAAGGAAAGGAAAGGAAAGGAAAGGAAAGGAAAGGAAAGGAAGGAAAGGAAAGGAAAGGAAAGGAAAGGAAAGGAAAGGAAAGGAAAGGAAAGGAAAGGAAAGGAAAGGAAAGGAAAGGAAAGGAAAGGAAAGGAAAGGAAAGGAAGGAAGGAAAGGAAAGGAAAGGAAAGGAAAGGAAAGGAAAGGAAAGGAAAGGAAGGAAAGGAAAGGAAAGGAAAGGAAAGGAAAGGAAAGGAAAGGAAAGGAAAGGAAGGAAAGGAAAGGAAAGGAAAGAAAGGAAAGGAAAGGAAGGAAAGGAAAGGAAAGGAAAGGAAAGGAAAGGAAAGGAAAGGAAAGGAAAGGAAAGGAAAGGAAAGGAAAGGAAAGGAAAGGAAAGAAGGAAAGGAAAGAAGGAAAGGAAAGGAAAGGAAAGGAAAGGAAAGGAAAGGAAAGGAAAGGAAAGGAAAGGAAAGGAAAGGAAAGGAAAGGAAAGGAAAGGAAAGGAAAGGAAAGGAAGGAAAGGAAAGGAAAGGAAAGGAAAGGAAAGGAAAGGAAAGGAAAGGAAAGGAAAGGAAAGGAAAGGAAAGGAAAGGAAAGGAAAGGAAAGGAAAGGAAAGGAAAGGAAAGGAAAGGAAAGGAAAGGAAAGGAAAGGAAGGAAAGGAAAGGAAGGAAAGGAAAGGAAAGGAAAGGAAAGGAAGGAAAGGAAAGGAAAGGAAAGGAAAGGAAAGGAAAGGAAAGGAAAGGAAAGGAAGGAAAGGAAAGGAAAGGAAAGGAAAGGAAAGGAAAGAAAGGAAAGGAAAGGAAAGGAAGGAAAGGAAAGGAAAGGAAAGGAAAGGAAAGGAAAGGAAAGGAAAGGAAAGGAAAGAAAGGAAAGGAAAGGAAAGGAAAGGAAAGGAAAGGAAAGGAAAGGAAAGGAAAGGAAAGGAAAGGAAAGGAAAGGAAAGGAAAGGAAAGGAAAGGAAAGGAAAGGAAAGGAAAGGAAAGGAAAGGAAAGGAAAGGAAAGGAAGGAAAGGAAAGGAAAGGAAAGGAAAGGAAAGGAAAGGAAAGGAAAGGAAAGGAAAGGAAGGAAAGGAAAGGAAAGGAAAGGAAAGGAAAGGAAAGGAAAGGAAAGGAAAGGAAAGGAAAGGAAAGGAAAGGAAAGGAAGGAAAGGAAAGGAAAGGAAAGGAAAGGAAAGGAAAGGAAAGGAAAGGAAAGGAAAGGAAAGGAAAGGAAAGGAAAGGAAAGGAAAGGAAAGGAAAGGAAAGGAAAGGAAAGGAAAGGAAAGGAAAGGAAAGGAAGGAAAGGAAAGGAAAGGAAAGGAAAGGAAAGGAAAGGAAAGGAAAGGAAAGGAAAGGAAAGGAAAGGAAAGGAAAGGAAAGGAAAGGAAAGGAAAGGAAAGGAAAGGAAAGAAAGGAAAGGAAAGGAAAGGAAAGGAAAGGAAAGGAAAGGAAAGGAAAGGAAAGGAAAGAAAGGAAAGGAAAGGAAAGGAAAGTAAAGTAAATGAAATGAATTAAATTAAATTAAATTAAAGTAAATTAAATTAAATTAAATTAAAGTAATTAAATTAAATTAAATTAAATTAATTAAATTAAATTAAATTAAATTAAATTAAATTAAATTAAATTAAATTAAATTAAATTAAATTAAATTAAATTAAATTAAATTAAATAAATTAAATTAAATTAAATTAAATTAAATTAAATTAAATTAAATTAAATTAAATTAAATTAAGTTAAATTAAATTGAATTGTGATTAAAGTGAAATTGAGTGATTGGGGTATATTTTTGAGTTTTTAATATTTAAAAGTTTAAAATCAAAATAAATTATAAACAGATTAAAATTTATAAACATTTTTTGTTTAATATAAATTTGTCAGCTGTTTTTGAAATTTTTCCCTTACAGCCAATTCGCCTTCAAGTGCAAGCATAATGTCAAATTACATATAAAAAATATAACCAATTCGCTTGGTATTCTGAATTCGCCGATGACACTACCTTATAAAATTAATATACCTTGGTCCACACTACACGTTTTCGATTCAAAGCATTTCGTGCTTTTCATACTTTCTTTGCATCCGCTTATGACGCTTACAAAAGTAGAAAGTAGATCTAATTTAAGCATTCTACGCATCAAGGCAACCTTATTGGCTTCTGTCAAAAAAGTTGAACTACTAAATTTCACCAACAATGAAAGGAAAATATTAAAAAAATAAACAAAAACCTTTAAAGTGGAAGTACACATCACGCGTTGTACTCGGCAATGCGTTATAGGCTTCAGTCAAAAAAATTGAAATAGTATATTTTCATTTACCAAGTTACACATTGTAGTTTGTAACGCGTCTGCCGCGAAAGGATCAGCACCTTTCAGTGTTTAACTTGCAGCTTGTAAAGCGCGAAAAGTTTGAAAAGCGTTAAACGCGTTGACGCCTCAACTCGTGTTGAGTACTTCCACCTTAACGCTTTGCCACGTACAACGCGTGTTTATTCTCAACTTAAATTCGCCTTGATACTTCATTAATTCACCATTGTGTAATATAGAGTTTTCTGGTAGTTATTTTTACATAGTCCGTAACAGTTGTAACAATAGAGTATTTTCTGAGTACATATTTAACAATACTTATATTTTCAACTATGGGTGTATCGACTATTGTTTTTTGTATTTTATAGATACTTGTTTAAGGAAAAATTTAACTTAAAAAGTGTAATGTAAACATATAAAAATGTCATTTTTAAATTACAATACATATATAAAACTATAAAAAAAGAAAAGTGAAATCAAAATTTTCCTAAAAAAGATATAAGCTACATTGTTAAAAAAAAAAGACAAATCAAATATAATATGAGTACTCCGCCTACATATAAGTATTTGAAATGTCTATACTATTTCATTGAATGAATCGATAAAGGATATGTTCGTAAAGAATTTTGTGTGTAAACATATTTTCATAAACTAAATTGAAATATAACTAAGTTTAGTTATTTCTATAAAATTAAAAAGTCAATAATAATTAAAATGAATTTATTACTAATTCGAGTTATTCTTCAACTTGCTATTCCGTGTAAGTAACTCAAACATTTTATTTGATTAATTAAATTAATATGAATTCGCTCATTTGCTTCTAAAAGGTCATAACTTAAAATGCTTAGTATAATTAAAGAGTATACAATTTTTTCAATATTCTTTAAACAACATGCACAATATATTTTGTTACTCTATGTTATGACTTTTAGCAACAAACTAATGATATGTACATATTTACATATCGTCATATAAAATCTATAAGGCCCTAAGTCACAAAAAAATCAATCGGCTTTTTAATTGATTGTGATGCACCGTATCAAAATACATGTTCGAAATGAAAATCGGAAAGATCTAAAATTATCTTAAAATTCATGAAAATTTTTAAATTCTTTAACTTCGAAATTGTAAAATTATGTAAGTTGGAATCAAATATAACCAAAATAGCACTTTTAGCTAATCTTTGATTTAGAGATTATTTTAAAAGTTTCAGAATTTATTTCAATATTTCCTATTATCGAAAATCTTTATGAAATCAAATTTGTAATTTTGGGCATTTTAGATTTCATATGACGATATGTACATTACACCTACATCCAGTGTTGCCAAAAACTAATTGAGAAAAGTGCTAGAATTTTTCGAAATAGTGCTAAAAATAAAGAAAAGATGCTAGAAAAATGTGCTAACAAAAATAATGTTTTTTATTGTAGAATATTTGAAATTAAATTTTTAAAATAAACTACATATATAATATTTTTGGCTCAGTGCGCAAACGTACCAACTTCACTTATTATGGAACGATTTTAATACAGAATAAAATTTGTAATAATAACTAGTTTTTGAGTTTTTCGATTCTTACTTTATCTTATCGCTCTACTAGAATTTGTCTAAAATTTCTATATTTTTTGGTCTTTTTTTATCTGCTTAAATAATGTTTTTATCATAGTACGCACACGTACCAAATCCGCTTATTATTGGATGATATAAACACGGAATTAAATAAGGCTAATTCAATAAAAATTTAATTGAATTTTTAGATCAGAAGTAAACAGAAAGTGTTCAGATCCTGGAAATGCTACATTGGAACTAGTAATATCGTCATTAATTCTCGAAATAATTCTGTCGAAAAATGTTATTACAAAGGACTTCTAAAAAGTTTCTTTCAATATTTCCTTTGCACGGTGGTAAATTCCGGCCAAAAATCGATAACTTCTTTATTTCTTTAAATAAATAGCTGAAATTTTCCACAAATATTTCTTACAGGTAAGGTTTGTTTGTTACTGACAAAGGGCAATATCGGTTGAAGATTTCGCCTAGCCCCCATACAAGTGACACCACAGAAAACTCCTTAAATACTCATAAATACGTTAAATATAAAGCAATTTTCATGAAATTTAGCACAAGTCAGTTTTATGTATAAGGTTCTTAAATGCTGATAATTGGGTTAAAAATACTAGACTCAAACAAGTTTTATAGGAACCTAAATTTCACTATAAAATTTTATTAGAATTGATCCATAATTGACACTACCTCCCATATTAGGTGCCTTTCAATAAATTACTTTATCACTCATTACTGGCTTAAAAATATCTGTCTAGCAATGAAATTCGACACAAACATGTTTTATATGAACCTAAATATGTGTATCAAAGTTATCCCCTATATAAGGCCCATTAAGACGAGGGATTTAACAGAGTGATAAATATCAGCATAAACATAAATATCAACATAAACAAGTTTTATAGGCGGTAAAATCCTTCTGTCAAATTTTATTTAGTTCAGTTCATAATTGACCCATCCCTCCTCCATTTGATATTGTACTATTGATAATATGTCGTATCGTTCTCTATTTTTATGAAGTTGACATAAATGGAAAAGTTCAGCATTTGTAATAGACGAAGTCATTAAAAATGCTCTAGTTACTAGAGCTGCAGGAAGTTGCAGATGAAATTTATAATACTTACTCCTGATATAGATACAATAGTAGGTACAACCTCTTATAGCCCCTTTTCCTTTTGTACGGTCTTTCAAAATTTGGATGTGTATAGCTTTTTTATACCCTTCACCTTCGTGAGAAGGGTATATATAAGTTTGTCATTCCGTTTATAATTTTTATAATATAATTTTCCGACCCCATAAAGTATATATATTCTGGATCCTTAAAAAAGACAATTTTTTCATGCTTTGATATAAGCAACAACAACAACAACACTGCTAATTCATTGAGTATTTCGTTTCATATGTTTGGATGGCTGTGTGTTTCATTGCCTTGTATATGTATATTGTTTTTGTTTCTTGGTGCATTCAGTTTCGTATGTTAGGATGTCTGTTGTTTTCTTTGCGTTGTATATTTTGTTTTTGCTTTTTTGTGAGTATTTCGTTTAGTATATTTCATTGCCTTGTGTATATTGTTTTTTGGTGTATTCAGTTTCGTATGTTTGGATGTCTGTTGGTTTCATTGCGTTGTGTATTTTGTTTTTGTTTTTTTGTGTATTTCTTTTCGTATGTTTGGATGTCTGTTGGTTTTACTGCCTTGTGTATTTTGTTTTTTTGTGTGTTTATTTCGTTTAGCGTTGTTGTTGTTCGTTTTGCTATTGCTATAATCTATATATACATATATAAAAGAGTAGCGTTACTGACTGACTGATTCATCATCGCACAGCCCAAACGGCTGAACCTAGAATCATGAAATTTTGACAGTAGAAGTGTTTTTGGTTATGTAGATCCACTAAGGAGGGATTTTTGGAAATTTGTACATTTACGGGTAGAAAAGGGAAAAAACGGGTAAAACAGGTTTTCTTAATTATCTTACACAATATTAGTGATACAAGAAAAATGTTAAATGCACCTGTATCTTCTCTTAAAATGAGCAGAAGGGTGTCTGGTACTTTTCTGAAATTCGTACTTTTAAGGGGTAAAAATGTTTAACAAAAGTTACCTTTTTTGGCCCTTTATAACTTTTAAACTATTTAACATAATACAATTTTTATAAATATTTTAGATACATCTCCAAAAATTATGATACACCTGTTTCGTACTTTTTTAAAATTCAGCCCTTTTTGGGTGTAAAAGGGTGAAAACTGTATTTATGGTACTTTTTTTTAGCACATAAAGAAAACTTTTTCGGTTTATTGAATAATTCCTATTAAATTACGGACTAACTCTGTAATATTTATTGTAATAAAATTTTTCTATTTCACTGGGGAAAAAAGTACCAAGGGAAAAAACTGGAAATTTAATTTTATTCAAACTCATTGAGACAATTTTTATAAAATATGAAAAAGTACTTTATTTACTCACACAAAATAAGCTGTTGGTATATTATTTTGGAATTGGAGTACTAAGGACTATATAGGACCAAATTCGATTAAATTGTTTGGTACTTTTTGAAAGCACTATTTTTCTGAAACAAATGAATGCAGATTTGAATCGTTTGAGTTTTATCTGTGATATATAAATTTAAATACGGAACATTTTATAAACTTAATTCTCGAAAAAGTATATTTCTAAGCGAAAAGGGGAAACAATGTACTCTTTTTATTAGTACTTTCCACTTAGGTAAAATTTATTCCACTTTTGGTACTATTTCTTCCTTCAAATGATACTCTATGTATGTTCTTTAATATGAACTCAATACACATGATTATTAAACATACACGGTCCTCATTGAATAAGATACTTTAAGAGACAACTTTTTAGTACTTTTTATCTCATAAATTGTACTTTTTTAATTTTCTAAAATATTCAACCTAGGAATATTAATTTTAACATACATGGTCTTGACTGAATAATATTCTGTAAGTGGGAACTATTTGGTACTTTTCTATTCTTCAAATGGTACCTTTTAGATTCTTTATAATGGTTAACCGGAACACACGGTCCTTATTAAATGAGAATTTATTGAGAGGGATTTTTGTACTTTTTCGTTTTTCCGATGGTACTTTTTGATATTTTTACGATATTGAACATAGATATTGAAAATAAAATTTAAAATGTAGGGACCTTAGTGAATGAGTATCTACTGAAAGGGACTTTTGGTACTTTTTCATTCATCAAATTATATTTTTTAATTTTATATAATATTGAACACAGAAACATAAAATCTTTTATTAAATGATGATCTATTAGAGGTATTTTATGGTACTATTTTTCAAATATTACTTTCAAATTTTTCTATAATGTAGAAGCTAAATGAATGAAACTAAAAATACAAGCTTCTTACTGAATGCGAATTTAATCACGTGATATTGAACGTATAATACTGAAACATTAAAAAAATGTTTAATCAATTTTAATTTTCTATAAAAGTAAACAAAATTTTGAATGTATTTAATTTAAGTTAGGGTAGCGAAGCACCCAGGGTATGCTAGTAATGATATAAATGGGAAAATGAAATAAATTAAAATTTTATAGAATTCATATTTTTTAAATACACTGTGGTGAAGGGTATATAAGATTCGGCATAGCCGAACATAGCACTCTTACTTGTTTAGTTTTTAAAGTAGGCCACAATCACTTAACTTATCAAAAAAATGAAACCGCGCAAAATCGCAAAAACATGGAATGAATACTTAATAAGACTATATTAAAACACGTGCTAATTTACAAAGAAAATCTTTAAAGAAAAATCATAGTCTTCATTTATGAAAAAGTGTATAAAATCTAATTAAAAAACTTAAAACGACAGGCAAAAAATTATCAACACAAGGTTAAGCTATAATCAAAATGTGATATAAATTGTATGACTTAAAGTGTTAGCTATAATCTACCATCAAAAATTTATCAGAATTAAATAATTGAAACAAATAATTTTTGGCCGGAATTGACCACCGTGCATTGGTACAATACTAGTCCAGATTTTAAAAACAACTTCTTAAACCAGTAGAAAAATGTTTCAAATTTATCGAAAAAAAAAAAAAAAATAAATACAAATTTAAATATAATTGACTGTTTCCCAAAAGAAAGTGTATATGTTCTCTAAAGGTTTTCTAGAACTATTTCTGAGGATAGCAAATGGTCTGTTCGCGTACTCGATAATTT